CTCAAGTGGGGTGAAACCCACACAGAACATTGGCTTGGCACCCATCATGGACCCAACGAACAGTTCTTGGGCTGACGTTGCTTCCAGATGCAGTTTGGAACTCGGTAGTGAGAGTTGCAACCAAGGACAGACGATTTTTAAGCGCTACGCGCTTCAGCACCCGGTGGTCCCGTTCTGTGAGCTTGTGTGGCCTACCACTTCCTGGCTGAGCCGTTGTTGCTCCTAGATGTTTCCACTTCACAATAACAGCACTTACAGTTGACTGGGGCAGCTCTAGCAGGGTAGAACTTTGACAAACTGACTTGTTGGAAAGGTGGCATCCTATGACGGTACCACGTTGAAAGTCACTGAGTTCTTCAGTAAGGCTATTCTACTGCCAATGTTTGTCTATGGATGTTGCATGGCTGTGTGCTCGATTTTATACACCTGTCACTAACGGGTGTGGCTAAAATAGCAGAATCCACTCATTTGATGGGGTGTCCACATACTTCTGTATAAATAGTGTATGTATAGGGGTAAGGTGACTAGGCATCAGGATATATGATAAACAGAGTAGCAGCAGTGTATAATATGATGATTGTATGTGAGTGGGTGTGCATGTGTGTAGAGTCAGTATAAATGTATATGCATAATATGTGTGTGAGAGCAAATGATGGCATGAGTGTTTGTGTGTGTTGGTGTGTCAGTGTGCATGAGTGTATAGGGCCCTGTGAGTGTGCAAAGAGAGTACAAAAATAAAATACAAGGGTCAACTCAGATAGTCCATTGTTAGCTATTTAGTTAGCTATTTAGTTAGCTCTTTAGCAGTCTTATGGCTTGGGGATAGCTGTTCAAGAGCCTGTTGGTGTCTTATGGCTTGGGGATAGCTGTTCAAGAGCCTGTTGGTGTCAGACTTGATGCACTGGTACCGCTTGCCATGGGGAAGCAGAGAGAACAGTCTATGGCTTGGGTGGCTGGAGTTTTTAATGATTTTCTGGGCCTTCCCTTCACACCCCCTGATATAGAGGTCGTGGATGGCAGGGCCAACTTTTAGAATTTGGAATATTGTTCTAATTACATTTACATTTACATCATTTAGCAGACGCTCTTATCCAGAGCGGCTTACAAATTGGTGCATTCAACTTATGATAGCAAGTGGGACAACCACGTTTTTTTCTTCTTTTTTTTTATGGGGGGGTGGGGGAGGGGGGGGTAGAAGGATTACTTTATACTATTCCAGGTATTCCTTAAAGACGTAGGGTTTCAAGTGTCTCCGGAAGGTGGTCAGTGACTCCGCTGTCCTGGCGTCGTGGGGGAGCTTGTTCCACCATTGGGGTGCCAGAGCAGCGAATAGCTTTGACTGGGCTGAGTAGGAACTGTGCTTCCGTAGAGGTAGGGGGGCTAGCAGGCCAGAGGTGTATGAACGTAGTGCCCTCGTTTGGGTGTAGGGTCTGATCAGAGCCTGAAGGTAAGGAGGTGCCGTTCCCCTCACAGCTCAGTAGGCAATCACCATGGTCTTGTAGCAGATGTGAGCCTCAACTGGAAGCCAGTGGAGTGTGCGGAGGAGCGGAGTGACATGAGAGAACTTGGGAAGGTCGAACACCAGATGGGCTGCGGCGTTCTGGGTAAATTGTAGGGGTTTAATGGCACAGGCAGGGAGCCCAGCCAACAGCGAGTTGCAGTAATCCAGACGGGAGATGACAAGTGCCTGGATTAGGACCTGTGCCGCTTTCTGTGTAAGGTAGGGTCGTACTCTGCGAATGTTGTAGAGCATGAATCTGCAGGATCGGGTCACCGCTTTGATGTTAGCAGAGAACGATAGGGTGTTGTCCAGGGTCACGCCAAGGCTCTTTGCACTCTGGGAGGAGGACACAATGAAGTTGTCAACCGTGATGGCGAGATCATGGAGCGGGCAGTCCTTCCCAGGGAGGAAGAGCAGCTCCGTCTTGCCGAGGTTCAGCTTGAGGTGGTGATCTGACATTCACACTGATATGTCTGCCAGACATGCAGAGATGCGATTCGCATATGGGGAATAGTTACATTGTAACTATTCCCCATATAATATTATATTCCACATATAATATTCCCCATATACATGGCTGCCATAGAATGTTGTAGTGTCGTGTAAATGCATCATAATGCAGAAACTGTATTGTCCCAACTCTCCAAATACATGGCTCTGCTCCCACCTAGTGGTTGTAATTTGGAAACGCAGTTATTCCTCCTACCACTGACTACATTACCCAGAATTCTCCAACTGCTTCTTCCATTGAACTGAGTTTTCCCATCGTGCCTTTCGAGATTCGTCGGGTTCTCTTTGCTCTCGTGTCCGTTGTTTCTGTAGAGAGCCATTGATCGGTAGAATTTCAACATGGCATCCGACGGACCGCCGGGGACCGAACCTATGCCCTCCGATTTGGGGAGCTCTGTGGCGGCCCTCAATACATGGAGCAACCCGGAGCTTCAAGCCAAGCTAGGCGAGCTAGGCGCACCCAACATGGGTAGGAAGTCGGAGCAGCAAGCTTTGAATTGACGAATGCGTACATTGTGTGTAGCTTGTTGCTACAGGGGGCATGTTATGTAGCTAACTGTAGCGTGTTGCTAACAGGCTAGCCATATTTAGTTCCGCGGCAAGTTAGCTAGCTAGCTACATAGCAGGCCTTCATGGAAGTAAAGGAAAGTGCAAATGATCAGCTAGCTACCTACACAATTATTATATTAAAAGTTTATGTTCACCACCTCTACGAGGAGGATTTTTCTTACGAATGTCCCTTCGTTAGCTAGCTAACTAGTCAATTTGATTGATAGGTAACAGTTAATCAATCAATGTGTTTTGGTTGGGTGTTTAATAACTGATAAGCAAAAGTGATGTTGTCAGCATCGGTGCATGCGCGACTAAGTTGAATTTAAACTTCTTATACGAGTTGTAATTAAGTCATTGTTTGTTGTTGTTGTCCTATGTTAGTTGGTTGTGCTATGTTAGTTGTAGTGTTCATTGTTGGTTTACAGTTAATATTTTTCTCTGTCCTTAGGTCCCAGAGAGGAGATGCTGGACAGGCTCAAGGGATACATGATGCAGGTCAGTTGTGGGGGTGTGTGTGTGTGTGTTGACGTGCGTGTGTGAGAGGGAGAGTGGAGTGTACTGCATCTGTCAATATGATCCATTGATCGTGTGTATCTGTGTTTTTTTCTCACTCAGACTGGAATGATGCTCAGCAAACCCAACCTAGGGGGTGATGATAAACCTATGACCCCGCAGGTCAGCACCAACAGACCCTATAAGGTTTTTATACGGTCTAATCTAATCTCATTCTTACATTTCATCACTGTGATTATTGAGCTATAAACTCTGCAGTAGTTCATCAGTCTGTCATGAAAAGGGCCAGGAGTTTTACCTTGACTGTGTGATCTGACCAGGAATAACTTGGGTGAGTTTTCCTGGTTATCTCACATGGTCCAGGAAAAAACAATTACCGTCATCAAAAACAACTTAACCGACAACCAGCCTTCCCTCTTCCTCCCCCAGATGCCAGGAATTCCCCCCATGCCCCCAATGCCCATGCCCCCCATGCCTCCTGGTATGGGTATGCTCCAGGCGATGAGCATGATGGCAGGTGGCCCCCCTCCCCCAGGGATGCGTATGGGCATGGAGCCTCCAGGCATGCCCCCCGGCCTCTCCCAGGAGGACCAGCTGAAGATGGTGCAGCAGAGGGCTGCCATGATGATGCAGCACGAGGAGAGGGCCAAGCAGCAGGTATGTTCTTGGCCTGTATTCACTAAGCCTCTCGGAGTAGCAGTGCTGGTCTAGGATCAGTCTTTTAGATTATAATGACTGAAGAGCGTATGGACAGATAAGACCTTATCCTAGACTCCTACTCTGAGAGGAGTAGGATGTTGAATTGTCAAATACACCCCATAGGTGCCTTGAAATGTGTTGTTTTACAGGGTCAGCCATAGCAGTACGTCGACCCTGGAGCAAATTAGTGTTAAGTGCCTTGCTCAAGGGCACATCAACAGATTTTTCACCTTGTCGGCTAGGGTATTCGAACCAGCAACCTGTCGGTTACTGGCCCAACGCTCTAACTGCTACGCTACGTGTCGCAGGTGTATGGCCCCAGACCACAGGAGAAGGTTTATAAATTGTGCGGAAAGTAAGGAAAGTCTCCAGGCCCTAGTTGTAAGGTAGTCTGCCTTCTATTGTAATGGGAAGGAAGAGGGCTTCTGGTATAGATGTTCAGTTGGTGATACATAGTTTCAAAAGTTGACATTTTGTGTGTGTGTGTGTATTTCAGGGCGATTCCCGTGCTATGGAAGAGCAGGAACTTCTGGAGCAGCAGAAAAGGGTGGGGACTGGAGAAGACAGATTTTCATGTCTATCTCCCATCTTAATGATTCATCGGTAGTGTTGTCACAACCAATCCCAAAGTTATCATACAGCCCCTTTACCTTGCTTGGAAGTTGAAACATATCTCACATCTGTCTTTCTCTCCCTCCCTCTCCTCCCTCCACTCTTCCCTCTCTCCTCCCTCCACTCTTCCCTCTCTCTTCCCTCCGTCAGGCGGCGGTGATGCTGGAGAATGAGAGGCAGCAGGAGCTGGCTAAGAGGCAGCATGGAGGACCAGGGCCCAGGATGTCTGACCCGGGGTCACGACCCCCTGGCATGATGCCCCCCATGATGAGAGGTCAGTCCTTGGCCTGCCATCAACACTAAAATGTCAATCCTAACTTCCAATACAACTTTGTCCCTCAAGGGGGAATTGATTTGTATACTGCACACACTTTTTAGACAACATACAATGCCTTCGGAAAGTATTCAGACCCCTTATTCGTTTCCACATTTTGTAATGTTACAGCCTTATTCTAAAATGGAATTAATAAATATAAATCCTCAGCAATCTACACACAATACCTCATAATGACAAAGCAAAAACTGGTTTTTAGATTAAAAAATAAAAATGTATTAAAAATAAAAATAGTTAAGTATTCAGACCCTTTGAGACTCGAAATTAAGCTCAGATGCATCCTGTTTCCATTGATCATCCTTGATATGTGTTTACAACTTGGAGTCCACCTGTGGTAAATTCAACTGATTGGACATGATTTGGAAAGGCACACACCTGTCTATATAAGGTCCCACAGTGGACAGAGCAAAAACCAAGCCATAAGGTCGAAGGAATTGTCTGAAGAGCTCCGAGACAGGATTGTGTCGAGGCACAGGTCTGGGGAAGGGTACCAAAAAATGTCTGCAGCGTTGAAGATCCCCAAGAAATTTTGGAAAATTTTGAACCCCCAAGACTCTTCCTAAAGCTGGCCGAACTGAGGAATCGAGGGAGAAGGGCCTTGGTCAGGGAGGTGACCAAGAACCCAATTGTCACTCTGACAGAGCTCTAGAGTTCCTCTGTGGAGATGGAAGAAACTTCCGGAAAGACAACCATCTCTGCAGTACTCCACCAATCAGGCCTTTATGGTAGCAGTGCTACCACTGCTCAATAAAAGGCACATGAAATCCCGCTTGGAGTTTGCCAAAAGGCACCTAAAGACTGTCAGACCATGAGAAACAAGATTGAACTCTTTGGCCTGAATGCCAAGTGTCTGGAGGAAACCTGGCACCATCCCTACGGTGAAGCATGGTGGTGGAAGCATTATGCTGTGGGGTGTTTTTCATGGACTGGGAGACCAGTCAGGATCGAGGGAGAGATGAACGGAGCGAAGTGCAGAGAGATCCTTGATGAAAACCTGCTCCAGAGCAAGATTCACCTTACAACAGGACAACGACCCTAAGCCCACAGCCAAGACAATGCAGGAGTGGCTTCGGGACAAGTCTCTGAATGTCCTTGAGTGGCCCAGCCAGAGCCCGGACTTGAACCCGATCGGACATCTCTGGAGAGACATTGAAAATAGCTGTGCAGCGACGCTCCCCATCCAACCTGACAGAGCTTGAGAGGATCTGCAGAGAAGAATGGGAGAAACTCCCCAAATACAGGTGTGCCAAGCTTGTAGCGTCATACCCAAGAAGACTCAAGGCTGTAATCACTGCCAAAGGTGCTTCAACAAAGTACTGAGTAAAGGGTCTGAATAATTATGTAAATGTGATATTTCTGTTTTTTATTTTTTGTAAATGTTTTTGCTTTGTCATTATGTGGTATTGTGTGTAGATTGATGAGGGGGGGGGAAAAAACCAATTATCAATTTTAGAATAAGGCTGTAACCTAACAACGTGGAAAAGGTCAAGGGGTGTGAATACTTTCCGAATGCACTGTATATTCCCACATAGTCACCCATATTGGCTTAACACAGTCACTCTCCCAAGCTAAACATATCCAATGTCATTCCTTTCATTTTTAAGAACAGTGTGAAGGCTGTTATGTCTGGAAAGCTGTTGTGTTGATGGTGACACTCACCTGGTACATTGGTGTCAGTTGAGATCTGGGTATTGTTGTAGGTGTGAACCCTGGTGGAATGAACCCACCTCCTCCTGGAATGAATCCTGGTGGAATGAACCCACCCCCTCCTGGAATGAATCCTGGTGGAATGAACCCACCCCCTCCTGGAATGTCCATGATGCATACCCAGAGACAGAGAGTTCCCCCTCCACCCGGAGAGGACGCCAGAGAGGTATAGAACCACAATGTTTCCCCCACCGCTGCTAAATCGTTGCCGCCACTCCCAAAAATATAATAAAATATATATTATAATTTTTTGTTAGAAAATAATTTTTGGGATGGTAAAAAGTTTTCAGTGTACATTTTAAATGACTAAAACCAGATATAATGTATGTTGAAAAGATAGAGGAGCAAGATCTTTTTCAACAAGATCGTCTTTGAGAACTAAAGATCACCAAAATAAAAACTTCAACGTTAGGGAGAATCTAAAATTACAAAAATGTCATGGCATGGGGCCCACATGGATTTTGTTATAATGGTTGAGTCACTCAGATAGCATAAGAACACAGCACAATACAACTGCAGGAAATTTGCTTTAAAACAAAATATTTGTGTCTGTGGCCAAGAGAACGGCCGCTAACATTTTCTGTCGGAGACGGTGCCATTGGCCACGCCCACCAACACACTAACTTTGCCATCCATCTAATCTCTGTATTCCTGGCTCTGTGTGTGTGTGGCAGGTGTGGCAGGGAGAGGATGTGGGCGTCGGTCCTAAGATCCCCCAGGCTCTGGAGAAGATTCTCCAGCTGAAGGAGATCAGGCAGGAACAGCTCGGTGCTGCCACCACAGGTCAGAACATGAAACTACACACTGGAAGAAAGTCTGGAGTTGGAGTGCTGATCTAGGATCAGTTTAGATTTTTAAGATCAGAATTAATAGATCAGAACTACTACTTTGAGACGCTTTGTGAATAAAGGCCCAGATGCACCAAGAAGGCATGACTGAAACAGAAAATACTAAACTAACTCTATTTAGTGAACACATTTCCTTGTAACGTTCAGTAAGTTAACATCAACTAAACCCCTAATGCTCATGGTATCATCCCAATGGAACTACTGCAGTCTTAGTAATATTTTCCTGGGTTAAGAAGCCCTGTTGGACCTTGAACTTGCCAGTGAATGTTCTCTCTGTGTTTTCTACCTTCCAGAAGAGGAGGAGGAGAGCCCAGAGATGGAGATGAACATGTCCTCCACCGCCGTCCTGTCTGAGACTGAAGATGACGACGGTTCTCTCTCTAAGAAAGACGTGAGTGTTGTATTAATTCACACCTCATCCCTCCTGCTGTCTTTGGGAGAAACTCAATTGTGTTTACTTGATTCCTCGTGTCCTCTCGCCGCTTCCTCGAAAGGCATCGGAGGATAATGTCAGGGGAGGAACCTTGGATATTTTCCTCCAATGTGTTTTAAGAATGATGCGAGGAGAGAGGCCGTGAGTAGTCAAGAACAGACCAATGAGATTCACCCTGTTGCTCCTGAAGCTCAGAGGGTCAGGGGTCAAGTTGGCATGACTCTCCTATTGATAACCTGCTTGATAGGGAAGGTTCTGTTTCAATCGACATAAGCTCTTAGGAGCATGAGGAGTCGGAAATGGTGTCAGTTTTTAACTTTTTCATTCTCCCCTTCTCAGAAAAACCGTAAGCGCAGGAACCGTAAGAAGAAGAACAAGAAGAGGCGTGAGCAGGAGAAGAGGGTGCAGGCTGAGGAGAAGAAAGAGGAGGATGGAGAGAAGGAGAAGGAGCCTGAGGTGGAGATAGAGTACGTTACAGAGGAACCGGAGATCTACGATCCTAACTTCATCTTCTTCAAGAGGATCTTTGAGGCCTTCAAGGTGAGGGCCTCCATTTTAGAAATTGGCTGATTCTTTATGAAAAATTTGTCAAAACATCCTAGAGATGTGTCCAGTGTTATTCTTCATATTTATTTAGCGTTTTAATGGCTGAATATGGAAGTAAAATCGTAACATTAGGTTGAATGTACTCACCAGTTCTGAGCGCAGTGGTTTCAAGAACCTCTTAACACACAGGAAAGTGAAATACTATTTGTTGTTGTGTTGATTTAACAATGGAATCTGTTTGCGCGTTAGTCATTTGCTAACAGCTCTAATTAACTGTGTTTGTGTCCATCCTTCTGTCAGCTGACTGATGACGTGAAGAAAGAGCAGGAGAAGGAACCGGAGAAGGAGCCGGCTCCTCTAATGAAGAAGAAGGGATTAGTGGAGGAAAGGAAAGACAGTGATGACAGTGACGATGTTAGTATTCACCTCTCCTCTACTTTCTCTCCATTTCTGCGCTTGGATGGGAAAAAGTACTTTTCATACAGGACTGTTTTATATGCTGCTTCATCCTAATTCTCTACCCTAATGCCCTAAGTAGTGTGCACTTGTCTACTTCCATTCGGGGAGGAAAGGTGAAGGATTGGGACACAGAAAGAGTGTCATCTTCCAGTGCTCTCTCTTGAAGTGTTGACCTTGGAAGTTATACTCACTGTCGTTCCTCGTGTGTGTGTGTGTGTGTACAGGAGATCAGACCAGACGTTCCCAAGATGTCTAAGAAGAAGCTGAGGAGAATGAATAGACTAACTGTAGCTGAACTCAAACAGGTAATACATGCACCTGCTTCTTAGAGTTAGACATTATGTTTGTGCATGTGTACACCTGTGTATTGATTACGTTGGTGTGGAAGTTGTTCTGTGCCTAACACTTAATCATAAATGCTTGAGTCTATATGAGCTGATTCAGTTGGTGTGGGTGGTCACCGGAGATGTTTAAAAGGGAAAAAGCGATTGATAGAGATCTGTGTCCGGTATTGATTTTGACCCCGTCCTCCTCCAGTTGGTGGCGCGTCCTGACGTGGTGGAGATGCATGATGTGACGGCCCAGGAACCCAAGCTGCTGGTGCACCTGAAGGCCACCAGGAACACGGTGCCTGTCCCCCGACACTGGTGCTTCAAGAGGAAGTACCTCCAGGGCAAGAGGGGTATCGAGAAGCCCCCCTTCGAGCTGCCAGAGTTCATCAAGAGGACGGGCATCCAGGAGATGAGAGAAGCTTTACAGGAGAAAGTAGGTGGTTCTGTCCAATAGAGAGGTAGTAGAGAAGCTTTACATCAGAAGGTAGGTGGTTCTGTCCAATAGAGAGGTAGTAGAGAAGCTTTACAACAGAAGGTAGGTGGTTCTGTCCAATAGAGAGGTAGTAGAGAAGCTTTACATCAGAAGGTAGGTGGTTCTGTCCAATAGAGAGGTAGTAGAGAAGCTTTACATCAGAAGGTAGGTGGTTCTGTCCAATAGAGAGGTAGTAGAGAAGCTTTACATCAGAAGGTAGATGGTTCTGTCCAATAGAGAGGTAGTAGAGAAGCTTTACATCAGAAAGGTAGGTGGTTCTGTCCAATAAGAGAGGTAGGTAAGAGAAGCTTTACAACAGAAGGTAGGTGGTTCTGTCCAATAGAGAGGTAGTAGAGAAGCTTTACAACAGAAGGTAGGTGGTTCTGTCCAATAGAGAGGTAGTAGAGAAGCTTTACACAGAAGGTAGGTGGTTCTGTCCAATAGAGAGGTAGTAGAGAAGCTTTACAACAGAAGGTAGGTGGTTCTGTCCAATAGAGAGGTAGTAGAGAAGCTTTACATCAGAAGGTAGGTGGTTCTGTCCAATAGAGAGGTAGTAGAGAAGCTTTACAGGAGAAAGTAGGTGGTTCTGTCCAATAGAGAGGTAGTAGAGAAGCTTTACATCAGAAGGTAGGTGGTTCTGTCCAATAGAGAGGTAGTAGAGAAGCTTTACATCAGAAGGTAGGTGGTTCTGTCCATAGAGAGGTAGTAGAGAAGCTTTACATCAGAAGGTAGGTGGTTCTGTCCAATAGAGAGGTAGTAGAGAAGCTTTACAGGAGAAAGTAGGTGGTTCTGTCCAATAGAGAGGTAGTAGATAAGCTTTACACGAGAAAGTAGGTGGTTCTGTCCAATAGAGAGGTAGTAGAGAAGCTTTACAACAGAAGGTTAGGTGGTTCTGTCCAATAGAGAGGTAGTAGAGAAGCTTTACATCAGAAGGTAGGTGGTTCTGTCCAATAGAGAGGTAGTAGAGAAGCTTTACATCAGAAGGTAGGTGGTTCTGTCCAATAGAGAGGTAGTAGAGAAGCTTTACACAGAAGGAGGTGGTTCTGTCATAGAGAGTGTAGAAGCTTACACAAGTAGGGTTCTGTCCAATAGAGAGGTAGTAGAGCCAGATAGTAGCTGCACTGGCTGCTGGCCATAGGAGTGGTTCCAACTGGAAAAGGTGGGTGGGAGTAGTAGCACCCTAAATGGGCACAAGGGGGTGCTGGCTGTTAACACCATGGTCAACTTCCTGATAGATGCTCCAGGCCTTAGTTTTAGGCTAGCATGAGGAAAATGACAGTTTTATAGTATACAAACATGGCCTGTGTATATTTCTGTTTCACACCATGTTTACTTCAAGTTTATTAGAAAACGTCAGTACATAACAATTCAATATTTGTTACATAAACATCTCTCTAAAATAGACCACTGAAACACTTTGGCAGAAGTCACACTGAATGCCCTGGTACTCTGCTGACAGGAGGATGCTAAGACCATGAAGACCAAGATGAGGGAGAAGGTGCGTCCCAAGATGGGCAAGATCGACATCGACTACCAGAAGCTCCACGACGCCTTCTTCAAGTGGCAGATGAAGCCTAAACTCTCCATCCATGGTGACCTCTACTACGAGGTAAGGATGTCTGACAGCTCATTGGAGGGCTCAACTGTATACAGCATCTTACAACATCAACTCTGCTCCTACTTCCAAGAGCCTGTTGATTGGTTGGACCTTGAATGTAATAGTAGAGCTGCAATGTGTGGTTGGTTTGGGTTTCCCTCAATACTTCCTTGTTGTTGGGTCTTGAATGAACACTCGTGGTAGTCAGTGTACTCTGCTTTGGTGAATTGGTGTTAGGAATGAAATGTTGTTGATTCTTACATTCTCTGTTTCTCTCTCTTGCTCTCTCTCTCTCTCTACAGGGTAAAGAGTTTGAGACGAGGCTGAAGGAGAAGAAACCAGGTGATCTGTCAGATGAGCTGCGTATCGCTCTCGGTATGCCCGTTGGACCGGTGAGTTTTCCTGATGTTGTTGTATCCCACTACTAAGGAAGCCTACAATCCCACTATCACCTTTAATATTATTGATAGATGACTTTCTAATTATACTTTATTTTATTGAACTATAATCATTTTATATTGATGATGTTCTATGATGTGCTACTGATGCACCATGGTCTTGTCCCATCACTAAAGTTGTTTCCCTCCCGTGTAGAACTCCCACAAGGTTCCCCCTCCCTGGCTGATCGCCATGCAGAGATATGGCCCCCCTCCCTCCTACCCCAACCTCAAGATCCCCGGGCTCAACTCACCCATCCCCGAGGTAATTCTGACATAACGCAGACATAGGGCTCGATTCAATCCGTAGCGCTGAAGAGCTGTAAAGGCAATGTTCCAGAGAACACACGGTAAACGCTGTGTGTGTCGGCTCAATCGGATATTACTTTAACATTTAAATCGCGCTACAGCGCAGATCTTCAGCGCTACGGATTGAATCGAGCCCATACTCTTTAACAATTTACAATGTAATAAAAGTATTTATACTGTCATTCTCACAGACCTGTAACTTCTTCTTTAAGAGGCTCCTCTGTCCTCCACTCGTTACCTGTATTAATGGCACCTGTTTGAACTTGTTATCAGTATAAAAGACACCTGTCCACAACCTCAAACAGTCACACTCCAAACTCCACTATGGCCAAGACCAAAGAGCTGTCAAAGGACACCAGAAACAAAATTGTAGACCTGCACCAGGCTGGGAAGACTGAATCTGCAATAGGTAAGCAGCTTGGTTTGAAGAAATCAACTGTGGGAGCAATTATTAGGAAATGGAAGACATACAAGACCACTGATAATCTCCCTCGATCTGGGGCTCCACGCAAGATCTCACCCCGTGGGGTCAAAATGATCACAAGAACGGTGAGCAAAAATCCCAGAACCACACGGGGGGACCTAGTGAATGACCTGCAGAGAGCTGGGACCAAAGTAATAAAGCCTACCATCAGTAACACACTACGCCGCCAGGGACTCAAATCCTGCAGTGCCAGACGTGTCCCCCTGCTTAAGCCAGTACATGTCCAGGCCCGTCTGAAGTTTGCTAGAGTGCATTTGGATGATCCAGAAGAGGATTGGGAGAATGTCATATGAGATGAAACCAAAATATAACTTTTTGGTAAAAACTCAAACTCGTCGTGTTTGGAGGACAAAGAATGCTGAGTTCACCTACTGTGAAGCATGGGGGTGGAAACATCATGCTTTGGGGCTGTTTTTCTGCAAAGGGACCAGGACGACTGATCCGTGTAAAGGAAAGAATGAATGGGGCCATGTATCGTGAGATTTTGAGTGAAAACCTCCTTCCATCAGCAAGGGCATTGAAGATGAAACGTGGCTGGGTCTTTCAGCATGACAATGATCCCAAACACACCGCCCGGGCCACGAAGCAGTGGCTTCGTAAGAAGCATTTCAAGGTCCTGGAGTGGCCTAGCCAGTCTCCAGATCTCAACCCCATAGAAAATCTTTGGAGGGAGTTGAATGTCCGTGTTTCCCAGCGACAGCCCCAAAACATCACTGCTCTAGAGGAGATCTGCATGGAGGAATGGGCCAAAATACCAGCAACAGTGTGTGAAAACCTTGTGAAGACTTACAGAAAACGTTTGACCTGTGTCATTGCCAACAAAGGGTATATACTTATATTTTTATACATATTGAAATATTGTATACTATTATACTAATATTACTGTATTGAAATGTTTCAGAATTGTGAAGCTTATTACACTGAGACCTTTATTGACTTCCCCCCACCTCTCTCCTGTTCTCTCTCTCTCAGAGCTGTTCGTTTGGTTACCATGCTGGTGGTTGGGGTAAGCCCCCTGTAGATGAGACAGGCAAGCCTCTGTACGGTGACGTGTTTGGGACCAACGCAGGAGACTTCCAGGTGAGATCTTCCTCATACCCCTGCCTGATTCCCCTCATATTGACCGTACATCCTTCATTTACCATACAACACCACCATACATCTTTCCTCCGTACACTCACTACCACACGTTCCTGAATCTAACACACCAACGGTCTGCTTTGAGCCAATGGCCTGTTAACTATTGTCCTAATGTCTATATGTTTCTGTGTGTAGGCTAAGGCGGAGGAGGAGGAGGTGGATCGTACGCCATGGGGAGAGCTGGAGCCTTCAGACGAGGAGTCTTCCGAGGAAGAGGAGGAGGAGGAGAGTGATGAGGAGAAACCAGACGAAACGGGCTTCTTCACACCGGCAGACAGGTAGACATGTCGTTGACGGACTGTTTTAAACACATCAAGTTGACATGGACTTGAAATGAACCAGTCTCTCTATTCTGTTGGATCAATTAGCCATTGCTCACGTGTAAGAAAATACCGGTTGCCATTTGTAGTGGGTTGAGTGTGTTGTCTTGAATACAGTGATCAGTGTTTTATTAACTCAAAGCCTGTGTGTGTTCCAGTGGTCTGATCACTCCCGGAGGCTTCTCGTCCGTGCCTGCAGGTATGGAGACTCCAGAGCTCATTGAGCTGAGGAAGAAGAAAATCGAAGAGGCCATGGACGGGTGAGTGTGTGGCCAAGCATAGGCCATTCACTAGTATTTTGTTTGTGTGTCTTTCTACTGTATTGTGTGTTTGTGTCTCTTTCTACTGTATTGTGTGTTTGTGTCTTTCTACTGTATTGTGTGTTTGTATCTTTCTACTGTATTGTGTGTTTGTGTCTTTCTACTGTATTGTCTGTTTGTAACACCAGTCTCTGTGTGTGTGTAGGAATGAGACTCCTCAGCTGTTCACGGTGCTCCCAGAGAGGAGGACGGGCTCTGGAGGAGCAGCCATGATGGCATCCACACACATCTACGACGTATCAGGGGTAAGGACAACAGCAAAAACACTGTGTTTGGACAAAGTCGCCATATCAGAAATGAACACCGCTTTCAGTACTTAACATACCAACCACTGGGATGTAGGCATGTTAACACTCGAACCCAAAACACAACACATAGTTAGTCCCTTACTCATATATACTTAGAACATATTTCAAAAACAGTCACATACGTGTATACACTGGTACTCAACCGCATGGCCTCTAACTGTGAGCTAGCTGGACCGGTAGACTTCCAGTCTCAACCGCCATGGCCCGCTAAACTGTGAGCTAGCTGGACCGGTAGATTTCCAGTCTCAACCGCATGGCCTCTAACTGTGAGCTAGCTGGACCGGTAGACTTCCAGTCTCAACCGCATGGCCTCTAACTGTGAGCTAGCTGGACCGGTAGACTTCCAGTCTCAACCGCATGGCCTCTAACTGTGAGCTAGCTGGACCAGTTAACTCCATATGCCAAACTGTCAACTTCTTCAAACTGCACGCAGAGACATACAAATGGTATCAATGAGTTCATCTGATTCTGGGGTAGTAGAAAATGTATTGCCAGAATATCGCACTATCCCTTTAAATACACTTTCATGGATGTACACTCATACACATCTATACACCTACATGATCTATACAACTCCCCCGCGCCCCACTTTTGGCCAAAAGCAGTACACTACAGGGAATAGGGTACTACTTCAGATGCCCTTCTTTGTATTCCGTCTGACCCCCTCTCTCTCCTCCTCCTCCCCAGGCCATGGCAGGTCGTAAGGCGGGCGGAGGCCAGGAGTTCCAGGGGGTAGAGGTGGCTCTGGCCCCGGAGGAGCTGGAGCTGGACCCCATGGCCATGACCCAGAAGTACGAGGAGCACGTCAGGAACCAGGAGGCCCAGGTGGAGAAGGAGGACTTCAGCGACATGGTGGCCGAGCACGCCGCCAAACAGAAGGTGAGACTGAGACACTGTAACTGTTCTGGCCATTTTGTTACGTTACAAAACATTTAGCTACGGTGCAAAGCGGTTTTGCTACGGTGTGCACTAATGAATACAACCCAGCTCCTTATGAGTGTTGGGTCTAGTAATTGATTACCACATCACCCTCCTAGTCACATTTCTACTCCTCCAGTACACTCATGCTCAGACTAAGAAAGATATGACAGTCAGAGAAGGCTATTCTAGCTGTGACTTGTACTAGACTAGGGAGTATACACACAGTAATGAGGATCTAGAAAGCCCTGAGGTGAATCTCAATGATGTGTTCTTGTATCTTCATGTCCCGTCTCCTCGTCTCAACACATTGCAAGAGAAGGTCAGTGGTTCCTCCCCTCGACCTTCTTCTCCAATGCGTTTTGAGAAGGATGCGAAGAAAGAGTCAAGGGAGTACAATTGATATGAACCCCTGGTTAGATATTGCTCTAGTTTAGCATTAGCATGAAATGGATTATGCCACCAGGGGCCAAGATGAGGGTAGGAGAATGTTGCACTGCATTGGAAAGGCTCTTTCTCTGGTTTTCAGTTCCATGTGTAGCAGCATAAATGAACACTAGATGGGAAGATTAGGATCTGTTTTTAGTAATTGTAGTTGAGTGATTTAGTCCTATTGAAACTTCATCTGAATCTTTTAGGAATGTTCTATTTAAAAAAAATCCACTTTCATAATAGCTGTTATTGCAAGGTCTTACTTTTTTATTTTTGAAATGTTCTCTCTAAGCTTATGAATATGGCCATCCTTCTGGGATAAGTGTTTGAGTGTGAAAGCAGCGTGCACATGCCTCTCTCCTTCCTCTCACCCTTTTATCAGCCCTGCAACATGTTGTGACGGGGTTGGAGCAACTAGGAGTAATATGTCACTTTCACTAAGAGGAGTAGAAGGGTGAAAGAACCTCGTACGATAATTTTAAGCCTTTTCTTCTCCATTTCTCTCTTCGTCTCTCACTTTCTCCACCCCACAGCAAAAGAAGAGGAAGGCCCAGCCGCAAGACACGCGAGGCGGTGCCAAGAAATACAAAGAGTTCAAGTTTTAGACCAACAACATCACACCAGGAGGAACTGTGAAGAGAGGACAGGCCGAACAAGACGAGAACAGAGCTCAGATTTTAACGTAGAAGGAACCAGACCGTTTTACTACCACAAAACCATCCATTATTACAGTTTTCTTTTAATGACAATGATAATACGTGTCTGGCAGGGCTGGGGTCAATTCCATTTCAATTCCAGTCAATTCAGAAAGTAAACCAAATTCCAATTCCAAATGTTCCTAATTGAAGAGAATTGGAATTGGAATTGGAATTTGTGTACTTCAGGAATTGAAATGGAATTGAGCCCAACCCTGTGTTCTGGAGAACCACTGCCAGGTCTCCGCTGTATGCAGCATTTGTATAACCCGTCTATTCTATCCTGTGACTTATTTTTTCATGTAGCTGTGCTTTTCTGTTTTTGTAAATAAAAGACTCCATGTCAATCCAATCTATGGACCCAAATGGTTAATACATTAGAGGGTTCATTGTTTTTCCCCTGGCCATGTGACCTGGCCAATAACAAGTCAAGTCACATGGTGAGGGAGGAAAGACTGGGCCCTGCTGTACATTGCTATAGTAATTCCTTTAATGATCTAAAGCTTTAACACTGTGCTGATACATGGCTATATGAAGTCATACCTAGCATGACCAACCATGAGCTAACCTCATATACCACCTGACCAAGTCAAGGCTAGAGCTAAACTGACATAATAACAAGGTGTAGTTCTGGGTTATTCCACCAGGGGCTGACAGTGGATCCAGTGTGACAGTCACCTGATGTCTGGGAAACACTCACTGTGACCTAAATAACTGATAGTAGTAACCGCATGCTGACTCGGTCACTAGTGTACACACACACACACACACACACACAGTGAGGCTCCACTGCACCACAATGCCTGGCAGGCTTTCTGCAGTACCATTCCAGGATTTGTCAGCCTAGCGTATGGTAGTCTGCTACATCGTCAAAGCCACTTTATACTAGAATGACTCATCTATGTATTACATAATACATGCCATTTAGCAGACGCTTTTATCCAAAGTGACTTAGTCATGCGTGCATACATTTTGAAGTATTGGTGGTCCCGGGAATCGAACCCACAGCCCATGCTCCACCAACTGAGCCATATAGGACCACATCGGCTAGGCTACTTGAAATACAGACATCTGCTAAATGACCACCATATTGTCATGAATTTAATGTATGACTGTTATTTATCGAATCAACTAACTATGTTTAATTGTCACTCGATTAAATTAATCATGTAACAATTAACTAATTAGGAATTTGGGGCACCACGGAAGAAGTTGTTTAACGAGTTACCATCTCCCGAATTAAACTCTTAGATATATATATATACAGTGAGGGAAAAAAGTATTTGATCCCCCTCAATTGATTTGCATTTTAATAGGGGAAATAAGTATTTGACCCCCTCTCAATCAGAAAGATTTCTGGCTCCCAGGTGTCTTTTATACAGGTAACGAGCTGAGATTAGGAACCCACTCTTAAAGGGAGTGATCCTAATCTCAGTTTGTTATATGTATAAAAGACACCTGTCCACAGAAGCAATCAATCAATCAGATTCCAAACTCTCCACCATGGCCAAGACCAAAGAGCTCTCCAAGGATGTCAGGGACAAGATTGTAGACCTACACAAGGCTGGAATGGGCTACAAGACCATCGCCAAGCAGCTTGGTGAGAAGGTGACAACGGTGCGATTATTCGCAAATGGAAGAAACACAAAAGAACTGTAAATCTCCCTCTGCCTGGGGCTCCATGCACAATCTCACCTCGTGGAGTTGCAATGATCATGAGAACGGTGAGGAATCAGCCCAGAACTACACGGGAGGATCTTGTCAATGATCTCAAGGCAGCTGGGACCATAGTCACCAAGAAAACAATTGGTAACACATTACGCCGTGAAGGACTGAAATCCTGCAGCGCCCGCAAAGTCCCCCTGCTCAAGAAAGCACATATACATGCCCGTCTGAAGTTTGCCAATGAACATCTGAATGATTCAGAGGAGAACTGGGTGAAAGTGTTGTGATCAGATGAGACCAAAATGGAGCTCTTTGGCATCAACTCAACTCGCCGTGTTTGGAGGAGGAGGAATGCTGCCTATGACCCCAAGAACACCATCCCCACCATCAAACATGGAGGTGGAAACATTATGCTTTGGGGGTGTTTTTCTGCTAAGGGGACAGGACAACTTCACCGCATCAAAGGGACGATGGACAGGGCCATGTACCGTCAAATCTTGGGTGAGAACCTCCTTCCCTCAGCCAGGTCATTGAAAGTGGGTCGTGGATGGGTATTCCAGCATGACAATGACCCAAAATGCACGGCCAAGGCAACAAAGGAGTGGCTCAAGAAGAAGCACATTAAGGTCCTGGAGTGGCCTAGCCAGTCTCCAGACCTTAATCCCATTGAAAATCTGTGGAGGGAGCTGAAGGTTCAAGTTGCCAAACGTCAGCCTCGAAACCTTAATGACTTGGAGAAGATCTGCAAAGAGGAGTGGGACAATATCCCTCCTGAGATGTGTGCAAACCTGGTGGCCAACTACAAGAAACGTCTGACCTCTGTGATTGCCAACAAAGGTTTTGCCACCAAGTACTAAGTCATGTTTTGCAGAGGGGTCAAATACTTATTTCCCTCATTAAAATGCAAATCAATTTATAACATTTTTGACATGTGTTTTTCTGGATTTTGTTGTTGTTATTCTGTCTCTCACTGTTCAAATAAACCCACTATTAAAATTATAGACTGATCATTTCTTTGTCAGTGGGCAAACGTACAAAATCAGCAGGGGATCAAATACTTTTTTCCCTCACTGTATGTTATATATCGATAAGTCACTTATTAAATAATTACCTCTTATCAGTCTCATTCTGAACGTTGCATAATCCTTGAACCTGCAAGAACCCTAACCTTATTGATGAATCAGCAATACACTAATTGGCTTGTTTATTTACTAACTAACTAAATACTAACACAATACAAACACACACACACACATTGGTTATTGATTACTAACGTAATACCATGAAAACAGGTCCTTGAAAACCGGACTAACAATAGCATGAATGCTTGGAAGTGAGAGACAGAGATTCAACTATCGTTGATACTTTGGAAACTACGCTCACGGAAATACAAATGTTTAGCACCCGCTCATTCGAATTAGAAATGCAACATGTATTTACGTGTAGCTGGCCTCGATAGTTGAGTTCATGATGTAGGTTCTCTGTAGCTCAGCTGGTAGAGCACGGCGCTTGTAACGCCAAGGTAGTGGGTTTGATCCCCGGGACCACCATACACAAAAATGTATGCACGCATGACTGTAAGTCGCTTTGGATGAAAGCGTCTGCTAAATGGCATATTTTATTTTATTTTATGTAGGTCTCTGGTTTGCCCACCAGAGATCCCAATGTCCTTGGGAGAGTTTCTGGTCGTAGTGGTGGTTAGAATGGGTACTTCAGCGTACCCTGTAGTTCGTAGAGTTGATCTGTTAGAATAGATACTTCAGATGTACCAACGGTTGTCGGAGAGGGATTGTCTTTCCCAACTCGTGTCTTTAGTGAAAGTTGTCTAGACGACTATACATGCCAGCTGCAGACTGAGATGATAAGGTCTAGTGCATTGTCTTCTTCTTCACCATTTTGCCATATTCAGCTCGCGCTGCATGTCGGCTGGTCTGTAGAGTTTAACTATTTTGTAACGTTTAGCTCACGCTTCACGTCTGCTGGTTTGTAGCGTGTCAACCATTTAAAGCCGTGGGGCTTCCTGGTCTAACCATTTTAAGCCGTGTAGCTTCCGCTTCACGCTTCCTGGTCTGGTAGAAATTCAACCATTTGCAACATCCAGTTTATACCGTAATCTGCTTGGTCTGAGGTGAATTTTATACTTGAGTAGAAAAGGGGGTGTTTCATCATGTTTGTGCTCATCTGGGCGTGGCCACTGACTGAGAACAAATCAATATGGAAAACAATCATCTCATCTAGAATGCTAAAATCACATTATCTTCACAAAAGTATTATTATACTTAATCATTCGTTTTATACAACAATTAGATGCAAACCTCATAACTGGGAAGTGTACACCCCCAGAGATACAGTTATGTTGTTCCATGTCATTAATGACATCACAACATAGTAACGAATTTGACATGATTGTTCTTTAAGTACCCTCCGACCACTAAACCATGTCCCACATTCTTTGAAGTAGGAATATTTTTTCATTATCCACTTTTGGATGTTGGAGTCTTGGCGGGAAGACTTCCTTTGTTCCACGGGGAAATTCCCTCTCCCAATACTGCATGGCACGGAAAATAACGTTTCTGTAAGGAATTTAAGACCGGTCATAAAACTGGCCCCCAGGAAAAGGGGGTGTTCAAACCTTTGCCTAGCCGGCATCTTTGATCCTCAACCCATGAGGGCAAGTCATGACAATATACAGTACATTCGGAAACTATTTAGACCCCTTCAAATTTTCCACATTTTGTTACGTTACTGCCTTATTCTAAAATTGATTAAATTCATTTCCCCCCTCATCAATCTACACACAATACCCCATTATTGCAAAGCAAAAACAGGTTTTTAGAAATTTTTGCAAATGTATTAAAAATAAAAGCAGAAATACTTTATTTACACAAGTATTCAGACCCTTTGCTATGAGACTCAAAATTGAGCTCAGGTGCATCCTGTTTCCAGATGTTTGAGATGTTTCTACAATTTGATTGGAGTCCACCTGTGGTAAATTCAATTGATTGGACATGATTTGGAAATGCATGTCAGAGCAAAAACCAAGCCATGAGGTCAAAGGAATTGTCCGTAGAGCTCCGAGACAGGATTGTGTTGAGGCACAGAACGGGGGAAGGGTACCAAAACATTTCTGCAGTATTGAAGGTCCCCAAGGACACAGTGGCCTCCATCATTCTTAAATGGAAGAAGTTTGGAAACCACCAAGACTCTTCCTAGAGCTGGCCGCCCGGCCAAACTGAACAATCGGGGGAGAAGGGCCTTGGTCAGGGAGGTGACCAAGAACCTGATCGTCACTCTGACAGAGCTCCAGAGTTCCTCTGTGGAGATGGGAGAACCTTCCAGAAGGACAACCATCTCTGCAGTACTCCACCAATAAGGCCTTTATGGTAGAGTGGCCAGATGGAAGCCACTCCTCAGTAAAAGGCACGACAGCCCGCTTGGAGTTTGCCAAAAGGCACCTAAAGGAC